GCCGGAAATGCAGATGGCACCCAGGCTCAGAAATGCTTATTCTAGATGGGAACCAAACTAAGATTTCTCTTTATTATGTGTGACAACCGTCCCATGATGGGAAGAACCTCGCTGTAAAACAATTTTTAAACAGAAAGAAACAACTCTAAAGCTTGTAAAGTTCTCCAAACCTTCCAGTGACTCCGTTAAAGAAAGAAGCATTTGTCGAAAGGTCAGAGGGGTTGGGAGCACTATGCCGGGAGCCGGGGTCAGCGTTCTGGAGACCAGGATTCTCCCAGGTGAGCCGGCGTCCCGGGCTCCGGGCTCAGGCGAGGACGCAGGGCGGGTCCCGCAGGCTGGCGGGCATCTTTCTGGCCAGGTGACTCCAGCTCGGTCTCCGGGAGCGCAGGGACTCCCGAGGCTGGCGCAGACTGCCCGGGACGCGCTGCCGGCAGCCTCCCCCCGAGGCGAGGAGCATCTCCTCTCCCGCGGCTTCCGAGGCCAGCTCTGCCCCTGCGCCACCCTCAAGTCCTCGGCATTTTTCAACGAGGCAGGGAAGTAGGGAGAAGAGGAGCAAACCGCCGAGTGTCTGCACGCAGCCTCTGCCGCAGCACATGAAGAGGGAGAGGAGGAGGGAGGCTGGCGAGGAGGCAGCTAGTAAACTGTGATTCCACCGATAATGAAAAGAATCATCATCACCCACAGCCAGGGAGGCTCAGATACACCCACCCGGGCAGCGGCTACGGGGTTAGTGGGCGTTCCTCGTCCTCGCCCCCTCGGTGGCCGTGAAACCCACCCATGCCGCGCACGCCCGAACTCCCTTTCCTGTGACTGAGGGGAGGGGAAGGAACAAAAGACCCCCATCCCTACACACACACACACCCCAGATATGTTACCGCTGCTCAAGGGATTCATTTCTGCAATCCGTTTTGCTTACACCTTTCGCACCTGAACGGTACGTTTTCGCAAAGGTAAAGAAAGATGAGGGAGAAAAAACAGCCCCCGAGGCGATCGGTCGATTAGACACTGTTGATTTCACGTTCGGCTCTCACCCACCCAACCACAAAAAACCCGCAGCACCTCGCGCCCCCGCGGGGTCGCCCGCCACCCCCGGCCCTCTCGGCCAGTTCCCCGAAGGCGCCCGGCTCTCCGCGGGAACTCTGGGGACCCGACCGAGGGTTCCCTGCGCGGGCAGGACACTCGCCCAGCCCCTCGGCAGCAGCTGGAGGGCGGCGAGCGGACCGAGTCCAGCGGCGACGCGAGATCCAACTTCCCAGACCTGCGGCGCGGCCCCCGCTCCCGCCCGCAGCCCCCGGGCAGCGCCGAGACCTCCGCGCCGCGCAGCCTCCCCCGCCAGGGCATTGCCAGTCGCACTCTCCGCCCCCTCTTTCCTTCACCTCCCCCCTACACCTTGAAAAAACCCATCCATTGGTGCAAAGCAGACATTTTGATGTCATTTACTTAGCTCCGCTCGGGTTTAGAGGCAGCATCTTACCTAGTCGCCTGGAGGTGTGGGCGGCGCACCGATGGGTCCGGGGGCGCGAGGCTGGGCTGCTCGGTCCTCTAGCGGAGCCGGTTTGCTGCCATCCGCCCAACTTCAGCACCCAGCGGGCGAGGAGAGAGGGAGAGAGGCGAGGATGCAGGGAAGGGGGTGGGGAGGAGGGAGGAGTGGGCGGGGAGGGAGCCGGGAGCCGCTCGGCAGCGCGCATGCGCCCCGCTGGCGGGCGCAGCCCCTCGCCCCGCGCGGCCGGAGGTGCCACTTCTTCCTCCCCGCGCGCGGCCCCGTGAGTCGCGGCCCTGCCTCCCCCCACCCTCGGCGGAGCGGCCCGCAACTATGTCCAGCGCGCCCGCCTTGGACCCGCGCCCAGTGCGCGGAGGGGCTCAGTCCTGGC